CAACTTACAAATGTAGAAGACGACGTTTTGAAAGTCTTCCGCAGACTTTCGAAACGTCATCCTCTACATTTGTAAGTTGCTGTCTATTTGAAACTTAGATTCATTATGAATACTCTGCCTAAACAACCTATCAAAGATTAGCCAAATTGATCTTAACACACCAAAGTGTGAGCTCCAAACACTCAATAAGTCATTTGACTATAGAAAGTGGCATAATTGATCTGATAGAGCACCCAGAGAGGAAAACCCCCTAATAAGAGTCATATAGTTGACAACCAACTTACAAGTGTTGTTTGATGTAATGAGAGTAAATTGTTTACATAAATAATTTTGATGGGGTCCAAGGTTTGAGCCATGAGGAACTCCACAAACAAGACAGAAGAAGGGACTTTATACCATTAACTGTAGTGTAATATTGCCTTTTAATCAGATAGGCTCAGCACATTTATAAAGCAAGACTGTAATTTACACTGTTAAATTCCTTGGCAATATTGAGCACAGAAAACAAATAAATTACTTGGCTCATAAACCTTAATAAACTTTGTATTGATTGCCAATAAGACATTAATTTTCAATAGCCTGAAACCAAATTTCAAAATATTCAATACCTTATTGGTCTGGAAAAACATTTAATGATACAATTATACAAAATAGGCTCACCTGGTCAGGATTGCTACTTTTGTAAATTGATATGATCTTAGCAGTTTGAATAACCATAGTAAATTTGTCAGTAACACACATTATTAATGGTTTTTGTATTTTAGGATGTATCTTAGTTGATTTTCTTTTCCTGATTTATTTTCTGTAGTCTGATTATTTAATTGAAATTATAACTGTTGGTCATTTGTCTCACCAAATTAATGAATATTCATTTTATATTGGAGGTTAATTTCATTTTGTAGTAAAGATCGTTGCTGACTCTTCATGACCACAGTATTAGTTAAATAAACTAAAAACCAGTATTGGCTTGTTTGTTATATCTCACAACTATAATAGTTTTCAATGGCAATCCTCAAACTTTTACATGATTCTTTCACTTTGAACCAGATCATAAAGAGCATGTTTTGAAGAGTGGGAAAATAATGCACCCTTGTTGTGAATGAGAATCAAATTTATATTTACAAATTAAACATAGTGTTTATTGTTTTGAATAGTTGGAGATGTTTCTTATGTTGAACTGTTCAATGATGAAAATGGAAAGTTTCGTGGATGTGGGTAAGTGAATCATCAAACTAGGTAATTAAAACTAGTTTAAGAAATTGTCCAGAAAATGAAAATTATCACATATTTAAACTGTACATATAATCATCCAAGAATTTAAACCTTAATTAACTTTCCAACTTAGATGGATAATTAATACCGACTATCCAGTCCTAAATACCACCAACATTTTTAAAAAATTACAAGACAGTTCCAATGAGAAAATAAAGACACCTCAACTTCGTGGATTTTCATTTTTATTGGAAAATAAAAGATGAATATTAAATAGAAGATTGAAGCCTTTTTATGTTATTCTTTTTAAGTGTTAGTTGTACTATAGCTGAAGACTGAGAATGTTAACCCACTCTGTGACTCTGCTGTTAAAGTTTGTGAGTGAAATATAAAGTTGGAAATCTGATACCTAATGTTTCAAATATAATAAGTGTGACATTTATAAACCACAATGGTACTTGCTTAGTGTTACAAATTGGTCCAAGAATGTGGCTGCCAACTTCTAGCATGATAGGTAATTAATGTTCCTTGTGTTATAAATAATGACCATTGCAATCATCTGCATGAAATATGATTTTATGATAAGTTTTAAAGTTTACTGTCTGATATTACTGAAACAGTGAGTAAAAACTTATCTTGTTGATACACATGTAGATGTAAGAGGAAATTCAATCCTATAAACAATGTTAAATAGGTGTAATGGAAATCCAGTGTTACCTTTTTTGGCTTTATTTTTTAACTAAACAGCTAGCACCTGTTTAAATCATTTGAATTTATTGTTTAGAATTAACTGGAGAATAACTTGCTGGAAGAAAGTTTTGTATGTTAGTAATTAATATTAGTTGTTTGTTCAACATTCTTTTGTTGTTATTTATACATTAATGGACATTATAATTACATTTATTACTGTACTATCAACTAAACTTTCAAAACATGGAGTGTGAGACTTATTTTAGAAACACACTGTATGTAGAGTTGATTTTATTTTGTGGTTTTTTCAGTTCATTATGTCCAATAGCTTATAAGTGGTAAACTCATGATTGTTAAATACATGAAAAAAGAGGCAAATGATAAAGAATGAAGATGCTTTAACTGAATAATATATTTTGCATTATTTGCTTGACTTTATCTAGTATTTCCATGTTATTAGTTCATCTGAAATAAGAAACTTTAATATAATAATAATATATAATATAATAAGTAAATAATAAGATTTTAAAAAATGCCATAACAGATTGAATTATTTCACAAATTGAAAATGAATAAATTTATTTTACTAATTATAGGTCTTTTTAACAAGTCATAATTTTACAATAAAGTAAATGTATATCTTTCTGATATTTTATCCTTGCATATGTTGTATCTCTTAACGTGCCACTACCAAGATACACAAACTTTTGTTTTGTGTTTTCAATTAAAGTAATCATTTCATATGGTAGTTATTAGTTACTGTTATGATTTAGGATTGTTGAGATGAAAGATGAAACTGCAGCACAGAAAGCCATTGATGTACTACATAGATTTGAATACAAGGGAAGAAGTCTGGTTGTGAAGGAAGTAAGTTTATTACATTATTATTTTAACATCAAGAATTAATAATAAGTTTGTAGAAGCATAGTTTAACTTGCTACATTAACCTGTCTTCATTCACATTTCTTGGATTATCTTATGACAACTCTGGTAAAAGAAAAACTTTCACACTGATGTGTTCAGGAGTAGCTTATCATTATGCTTGCTGTGACATAAGAAAGATTCATTATAGTTCCGCAAAATGCACGTATTAAGAACAGTACATAAGTGTATTCCTAACGTACTGTTTTATAGCAATTAATGCTGTATAGTTATATTTAGAGCAGGATGATTTAGCCAGTATAATTGATTAATAGAAATTAATGTTTCCAATTATAACTTTTTTTTATTATTTCAACAATCAATTGTCACAAAAATAATCAACTAATCTAAATTAGTTGTTCTCACTTTAACTGTTTTTGATTATTCCTATTATCCAAGTAATCAAAATATTGCCATCATATTTAATTGTTGTTAAACACAAAGCTACACAATGGAGGAGGGTTGTCTCATTTTGAAGGTCTTAAGTTTAATTCCCACTACATTTACTTGCCCTGTCTTTAAAGCTACTAATTCTTTCTGAATATTTGTCACTAATTTTAAAATGCTAAGTACAAAGAAGGCAACTGACTAGCCTACTGCCAGCTTTGGGTAATTAAGTGTTAAATTTACTGGTGTATTATGTTGTATGTTTGTTTCTAAATTATAATTTCATAATTTTATTCTTTAATGAGTATAAGTAGGCATGGATCTGGAAAGTTTTAGAGGGGTCTAACCCCTCATTGTATAAGTAGGTGTGTATTTAAGGAATCCAAGAGGCCAGCTGCTTACCTCACTCATTTCTCAAGAAATTAATAATGTTTTATGAGCAGGTGCAGATGAGGGGGGGGTCCAAATTCCCTCCAATTTTGCTTTTCCCAGAAATTGAAAAAGCCAGACATCCTTATACAACCATATAAAATCATTAAGAAATGTTAAGTGTTAGTGCTTTTACTTGATTGGGCTGTCAATTATCATAAAACCTTTACCAAATTTTCTTAAATCAACACTGCTGGAGTGTACAGCAATTTAGTCAATGAATTAGCTAATAACTGATTATTTCTAAGCATATATAACAATATCAACATCAATTAAACATTGTAGTAGTAAAATTTTATGCTTTGGGTTTTTACATATATCCTGACAGTGTAATGAGATTTGTTTTAATCAAAATTAGTATAATTTAAGACAATTATAGCTAGTTACAGAATTTATTTTTATTTTTTAGAAGCTAAATTATCATGAAAAAGATGAACATGCTAATGGCATTCAGAATTAAAAGGTAGTAAACACAGTAACAGAAAACTGTATGAAACAAATGTGGTCTACCAAATGAAAACCCATTATTTCAACTAGAAATTTTGGCAAGAGGACAGACATGATCAGAATCAACTTAATACAAAGAAAAATGTCAAAGATTAATAGCAATAAAGGTTGGACTTTATAAAAACACTTAACAGGAGTCTTACTATATTTTTCACTTTTATATTTTATGCATTCATGCCATAAATCTTGATTGTATAGTAATTTAATGATACAACTTTAATTACTTTAAGATAGTATACTGTGAGTATAATCTGAGCTATTTTTAAAATGTTCCTTTTGTTAAATTGTAATAAATCTTTCTTGTGGCTCAGTATGTGTAGTAAGTTCCTTATGAAGCTGTAAGGCAAGATATTGATTGTTAAAAAGTTTTTCTTTTATTGGAGTTGTCATAAATTTGTCAATGAAATACGTGCCATAAAATACTCCAATTAGCATTCCAGAGAATCAGGGATACTGTCTTCATTCACTTTTTATTCACGTTATTTGGTACCACTTTATTTAATTTATATTGTTTATTATTAGGATGATGACGTGGAAAGAGATCGATATGGACGACCATTAAAAGGCTCCAGAGAAAGAAATGTCTCTCTTAGTAGTAGCTTTGGAGGGGGAATGGATGTAAGTCTGGGAGGAATAAGTAGTAGTTCATCCTCCCAGTTCAACACCTATGGATTAAGTCCCCAGTTTCTCAGATCACTTGGAATTGATGGACCTTTGTGTAACAGAGTATTTGTTTCAAATGTACGTAGTTTGTATTTTTTGTTTTATTTCATTTGTCCTTTAAGAATATTTAAATACTCTAACATTCAACAGTGTCTTCTCTCTCTAAATTTTTTTCAATTTGTTAACTAACAATTAAGATGCCAGATATCTTTTATTGAGAAGCACTAGAAACTGATGCTGCTCTGAAAATGTTTATACCCAATAACAAGTAAAACTTGTAAGAAAATAAAAGCTTTGATTCAACTCTCAACACAGGCTAGGTTGAATTGAGCAATTACATGACAACTTTATTCTTATTGTTTTGATGCTACTAACTTGTAATGTAGTATGTGTACTTTCACAAAATTTGGCAGACTTTCAGTAAATGTTACAGGTCTTGTATATACCAGATATCAGGTTTTATAGTGAAACATTTTTATTAAAGATTTGTCTGAGTATATCAAGTCTTTTTTCTTTTTCACTAGTCAGAGTACAAAGTAATTTTCATGTTAAGATTAAAAATACATTTTTTCATCTCAACTTCCATTTGCACATTCTCTAAAATCTCATAAATACATTTCAAACGTTTTTTTTTTTCAGTAAAACTTTACATTTTATCTATTTTCTCTACCCTAACTCTATACAAGTTTGATCAATTTCACTGACCTTGTAACCACCAATAAAATCAAAATATATCTAAATTACCCTTTGTTCTTTCTAGAATGACTAAATTCTACCATGAAACTACATTTGTTTATTCTAAGTAGCTTTAAATCTGTAACAGTATACATCTATTTATTGCTTGTTGAACTATGTCTAACTACTATTTGCATCATTATAAGTTGTAAATCACTTGGGTAATGTGCAGCTCATGTTACACTATTAAATTACATTACCCACGAGCTGCTCACATGTATGCCTCTTGAAAAATTATTATATTATTATTTTTTATTTTACTTAATCTAATCTTAAACTAACCTAAAGAGTTTTCTATTTTTATAGTTTAGTTACTTTTATAATAATAAATAAAGAGGACATACAAAAACTGGGTCTTCTTTTTTTGCTCTCAGTGACACTTAAGCAAGCATACTTTTTTATACTAATGGCAGTAGTGCACTACATAATGTTTATTTAATTAAATAATCCACCAAAAAACATAGAATAATAATATGCAAAAAGTAGATGTCCCATGGCTATCACAATTTTTTGGGCTTTCTAACTATGCAACAAGAGCTGTTACAAATTCATCCAAGCTAATTGTTGTGTTTTTTGTGGGAATGAAGGTTATACTGAAAGAGAAATTAACGTTTTTTTTGTAGATAAAACAATGTAATATAATACATCATTTGATAAATGAAATTCTTGACCTTGTATTGTTTAAAAATAATATAGTATTAAATGTAAGAGAAAACTATTGACATATCCTGAAAGAGAGGATGTGACGGGTGGGTGTGGCAAGAGGAGTCCGATCTTCTATTTGATATTTCTGTAGCCAAACAAAATTGAAGGCTATGAAAATTATGCTTTACCTGAATGATAACAACGTTGTAATAAGTTATTTACATTAAATTTTGTATTTCTTGGAGGGGTGGTAAATATATTAGAGAAGAGAGGATGTCTAGAGAAAAAATATTACATTTTCACAATATGGGAAATTCAGTTTTTTTTCTTTTATTAATATTGCCTTATAAAATTAAGAACTTAAAACTTGTATACTATTAAAATGTGGATTATTAGCTACTATTTTAAGCTATACTAATTGGTATAACATGAACAAAAAGTAGTTTAATTAAATATTTTGGATGTAAATCGCAAAACCTTTTATTGTACATTCTTTATCCTTTGAAAACAAGATAGGGAAATATTCCTGATAAAATATTAACTCTCTCACCACGGGCATCTTTCTCTATATGTAGTAAGGTTTTAGCGAGTTACATTCAAGATTTAATTAAACTACTTTCTTATTATGGTATATGAATAAATTGAGCATAAAAATTAGCTAATAATCCAACTTTTAATAGTATATAAGTTTTCTGTTCTTAATTGCATAATTCAATATTTAAAAAAATCTTGAATTTCTCCTAGTGAGAGAATTGTGACATTTTCTCTCTAGACATCTGTTTTTATCTAATTTATTTACCAACCTTCCAAGAAGCATAAAATATAATGTAAATTACTCATTATAATGTCATCATCAATCAAGCAGAACAATAACATAGAAAATCAGACTCCTCTTGCCATGCACACCTTTCACATCCTCTCTTTCAGGTTTTGTCAATAATTCTCTCTGACTTTTTATACTACATAATGTGAGCTATCTGTTCATTAAGTGATTTACAACTTGTGGTGTGAAAATTAGTTTCAGTTCAAAGGTCAGTAAAAGATTAAATTTAGGTATAAACAGGTGCATACTGTTATGAATTTAAAGTTATATAGGATAAACAAGTCTAGTTTCATGTTACAATTTTAAGTCATTTTAGAAAGAAAAAAGGTAGTTTAGATTATTATTATTAATATTTGTGTGTGGTGGTGGTGGTGGTTATGAGGTTAGTCAGGGTAGAGAAAATAACAGATAAAATTAGTTGTACTGGAAAAAAACGTTGAAAGTTATTTAGGAGGTACTAGAGATTACACAGATGATTTTTGAGATGAAAAGTATTTTTAATATTAACATCTAAATCACTATGCAATAAAAAAATTATATGACAAACCTTTAGTAAAACTACTTCATTAAAAAATATGATTTTATGTGTACAAAAGACTGAAAGTCTGCCAAATTTTGTGTAGATATACTGTAATGAGTACTCCCTTGTTACAATCTTGTGTCAATTCGATCAAGCCCACACCAATAGAGTTAATATTGTAAAATTTTAATTTCAAGAGTAAGATGTAACAATTATTGATAGTATTTCTTCTCTGTTCTATACTATTTTATAACAGCTGGAATACAAAGTAACAGAAGAAAAACTAGAAGATATATTTAAGTTAGCAGGGAAGATCTGTAAAGTGGACCTAAAAAAAGACAAAGATGGAGGAAGCAGAGGCTGTTGTGTTATTTCATATGAACATCCTGCTGAAGCTGTGCAGGCAATTTGTATCCTTTTATTTATTACTTCTCATTGTTACAGTTAATTTAAAACAATGAAAATTATAATTGTGTTTAACAGTTTACTAAACGTGGTCATGATTTAAAGCAATTGAATTCTGGTTTTAACAAGTTACTTGTGTGTTCAAATATTAATGAAGTTTGTAGTTTTGATAACTGTAGTAATTGTATTGAAAATACAAATATTTTAATATTGTGATAATTGTTGTATGATGAGCTTGCTCGTATTTGCTCAGTGGTTTGCCAGAAATAGCTGGTAAATCATGTTTGATTTTCATATAGATATCCAGCAGTTAATTTAATGTCAGATTTTACATCTAGAACTGTTGTTGGATGTCTATAGGCAACTTGAATCCATGTATTTATGAACAAATCACTATTTCAAACAAAATTTTACTAAAAATAAGATGGATTTTTTAAGAATTATTCACATATAGGATAAAAACAGATTCACTAGTGCAATGAAAGAATTCAGATACATACTTTATGTAACATGAAACATTGTCAGTGATAACTTTGTGAGATGTAACTGGGCTGTTATTATAATCAAGCTACATCCATTATCACTGGAGTGTTGGACCAATTTTTGTAATGTGCCTAGTAAAAATGAACCACAGCTGTTGTTTACTCTCCCACTAAGGACTCAGTTGAATCAGCCATGTTCATGACCCCAAAAATGACCTTTATAGTTCCCATAGTATAACTTCTAATATATTTTGTGTATCTTCATAAAATTTTGAAAGCTTTCAGTAATCATTAACCCTCTTGCCATGGGCACCTTTTTCTGAATGTTACAAGGTTTCAGTGATTTACATTCAAAATTTAATTAAACAACTTTCTTGCCATGTTATATGAATAAATTTGGAATAAAAATGTAGCTAATAATCCAACTTTTAATAGCATATATGATTTATGTTCTTAATTTTATAACACAATATTAAAAAAAATCATGAATTTCTCCTAGTGTGAAAATTGGGACATTTTCTTTATAAACATCCCTTCTTCTCTAATTTATTTACTAGCCCTCAAAATATGAAATTTAAAATGTAAATTACTCATTATAATGTCATCATCAATCAGGCAAAGCATAATTTTCATAGCCTTCAATCTTATTTGGTTACAGAATTATCAAATAGAAAATCATACATCTCTTTCCATGCCCACCTGCCACATCCTCTCATTCATAAATTGCCTTTAGTTCTTTCTGGCTTTAATACTATATTATTTATAACCAATAGAAAGCTGAGTGACATATTATATTACATTGTTTTCTGTACAAAGAATTGTTGATTTCACTTTTAGTTTGAAGTTTTATTCACATGGGAAACACATTGACGAGCTTAGATGAATTTTTAATGGCTCTTGTTGCATAGGTAGAAAGCCAGAAAAATTTTGATTGCTATGAAACAGTCTGCTTTTTGCATGTTATTATTCTGTGTTCGTTGATTCGTTATTTAATTAAATAAAAATTATTTGGTGAAATATTACCATTAGTATAAAAAGTAAGATTAAATGTCATCTAGGAAAATAAAGTAATAAATGTTGGAGAGAACTTGGCAATTTCTGAAAAAGAAGATGTGACAGGTGGGCATGGCAAAAGGGGTCTGGGTCTGATTTTCTATTTGATGCTGCTGTAACCAAATAGGATGAATGCTATAAAAGTGGTGCTTTGCCTGAGTGATGACAACATTATGACGAGTAATTTATGTTAAATTTCTTACTTCTCGGAGGGGTGGTAAATAAATCAGAGAGGAGGAGATACCTAGAAAGAAAATGTCACAATTTTGATACTAGGGGAAATTCATGATTATTTTTTAAATATTGCCTTATGAAATTAAGAATGTAGAACTTTTATATTATTAGTTATATTTTTATGCTAGACTTTTTCGTACATCCTGATAAGAAAGTAGTTTAATTACATTTTGAATGTAACTCACTAAAACCTTGTGATGTGCAGAAAAAGATGCATGTAGGGAAGTTGTTAATTTCATTTGAAAGAAGTTGTTGGATTTTTAAAAAACACCTATTAATTAGTAAGCATTAGGCTACTTATTTAAATTATACATGTCAAATAACATATCTACAGTATTTGGATACTGTGCTTTTGGTTTGTTGAAAATAATTGCATGGATAAGTAAAATTATATCATTTTACACAAAAGTTTAAGTTATAACTTGTGTTCTTTTAATTTTGAAAAAAGATATAAATTATGTCCTTAATTATTATTCAGCTATGTTTAATAACCAGAAGCTGTATAGTCGTACTATGAGTGTTCGCATGGTAAGTAGTTATGGTACTTGTAAGGTTCCATCAGTGAAAGCAAAGGAGAATATGTTGTAATATGTAAACCACACTATATGTGTCTTATCCAGTATAACAAGGTTAGCAGGAGTACAACATAGCAGTGCACTTAAATGCTATTCATTCAACTGTTTTGGTGTGAACCAGTTATAACCACACCTAAACTAACTGTTGGGCAGAATGAAGTGAATACATCATTCTAAAAGTTGCAGAGGAATATTTTAAGGCTAGTTGATGTCAGATACAGAAGTGTAGAGGGAAGCCACATCTAAACTGATTTCAGTCAGCTTTAGTTAGTGAATGCTTACATTTGAAAAAACTTGAAAGAACTGTCCTTGTATATTCACATGTCTTAGCGCAGATTAATTTGGTGGTTTACTAATGCTTATAATTTGAGTTTCTCCCAAGTTCTGGTAGTTTGTAAAATTTTATACTATCAAAAATGTTTTTAAGATGTCAAAATACAATGTTTTAAATTTAACAAATTAAGCAACTCAATACTGGAATTAGTATCTACACAAGTAATGATTTCCATATAGATTCTAAGAACTTAAGGGTCAGTGGTAAGTTTACAAACTTACAATGCAAAAATACGAGGGTTTGATTCCCTATGATGGACATGGCAAATAGTAAAATTTAAGATTAAAAGTAAAGAACAATGTGTAACAATATGTCAATCACATTTTATATCCAATGCCGAGCATTACTTTTGCCCAGTACCAGGAATCATTGCAGATTTGCATGTGACATACAGCAGTGGTTGAGTGTCAAGATTTTCAGTTACTTACAGTTATTGTAGGTTGTTAAAGAAAGTAACCTAGATTTCCATTTTCTTACAACTTTTGTAGGTTGATAAAAAAATTAATATTTCTTATGTCACGTTAATGACTTACATACTTGTGTCAAGTTTCAGAATTTTAATAAATCAATAATCAGATACTGAAGATTTTCTTGTATTTACCACGTAACTCAATTATTTTGATTTTAAGATACAGAATGGAACATATCTAAGCTGCATCAATGTTTCTTTGTTCCAAAAAACTTTCTCAGTGTCTTACAATAAAGATTTTGTATAGTGTATTCTCAGGCAGTATTGGCTTAGGATTTGAAGATTTGTGTTTTATCAGTATTCAATCTTGTACCACATCTAAGGATAGAAGCTAGAGAATTTTTGTATTGTAAAAGTTTTTGTTTTCTATTAGTGACACCACAAGTTAACCTATGATAACTTGTAATTACAGAAATTTCCTATAATTGTGCTTTATTGCATATTAACCTGACTTCTCTGTCGGTTGAATAGTTAATTAGATTGGTACGTATCTTGCCCATGTTAACCTATGATAACTTGTAATTACAGCTATTAATATAATTGATCTTTTATTTCATACTATCCTAACTTCTCTGTCGGTTGAATAGTTAATTAGATTGGTACGTATCTTGCCCATGTTGTGTAATATGGAACTTTTTTTTTATTATTTATAATTTTTCTTTATATTACACTTTGTTAAGCTTTAGTTGCAGAATTATATTTTGTATATGAAGTTTTGATATTCTTCTAAGACATAAAATTTAAATTATGCTAATGCATTTCAAATAATTTAGTATTTTGCTTTTACTGTGTTAGATCTGTTTGAAAATAATTTTTGTTTTCAACAAAGCATGCATATTTAATATCAGTTTTTGTTTCAGGATAAAATGAATGATGATCTTGAAGGTTTACCACCTAAGCTGCCAAGTATGTTTTTGTTTTGTTGTTTTTTTTCATCACTGGTATATCTTAAAATGTGGCAATGAATATCATGTGGTGTAGAACATTCATTAGAAAATTTAGTTGAAAGTTAAAAATTCTGTTAGTTATATTTGTACTGTAGATGGAACTACAGCATTTACTCTTGTGCACTAAGCAAGTAAATACTTTGTTTACAACATGTGCAAGTGTTTTTAGAAGTTCAGTGATAAAACTGCTAATTACTAAAAGTATATAAAATCTGCTAAAAGAAGACAATAAAAAAAATCATACTTGTTAAATTTGTATAATTATTAAACATTAGATATATTTTGTTTCAAAAACAAATGACTTAAATAAATATAACAAGCACAAAATGGTTACGAGGTTGTCACATTGATCGACCCCATGTTGGTAGGTCCTCTGTTGTTTTTCACTTCTATGTTCCCCATACTGCTGTTGACATTTTGGATGACTTGTTGGAACAGCACTGTTCACTCCTGGATGAGGGCAGCTTTGAGTTTCCAGACAGTCATGGAACCAGGTTATCTGTCTCTAATTGGTTTCCCTAACAAGTCCCACATTTGCTCAGTTGTATTTATATTTGGCTACTTATCAGGCTAGTCCAATACCTCTATTCCTTCATCTTGAAAACATTGCAGTGTGAGTATGGGTGTTATCCATAAAGTTGTCTCTGACAGCATCAGCAAATGGGGTGAACAATAGGTAGCAGGATATCATGCAGTAACATTTGCTATTAGGGATCCTTCATCCACCAAATAGAGGTCTGTATGCCCCTACATAAAGGTGCCATCCCAAAGGCATCATGGTGGACAATGTCATAGGCTGAATATTACTCTTTTTTTTTCAGGTCTCCAGACCCTCACACTTTTATCACTTGCTAAAGGGATCAGGTGACGTGTTTATGGACAAATACTAGCCGGGCTGTTCGATGCCTTGAATTTAGTGCAGGAACTAACTAGTATCCTGAATCTGTGCCCAGTCTGATAGAGCCTGTTCCTGACCATTTACAACAATACGTGCTCTTCAGTGGCTTGCTGAAGCTTGTTTCTGAGGCTGCTGGTGCAGTTTCTAAAGGCTAAATTCTGCAGATATCTGTCGGCTATGGCACATGTGGCCCTTCTGCAACCCTGGCCTTTTGATATATTATCCTGTCACCTAGTGTCAGTGCCACAATTTACTGACCAGAGATTGTGACATCCTCGTGACCTGTGCCATCTCAGTCTGGGTGCACCCCTCCTGAAGCAGTGTGACATTTAATTGGTTTCTGTCAGCTTACATGCACTTTACCAAAGTCAATGCCAGCAAATAAAATAAAATCTGTAAACCTAACATTATCTTAACAGTAAACACCTTTCCTGATCAATCAAAACTAGCCTTTTGTTTTGCAGAATTTGGGTCATTTCTCATAAAGGCATATTACATAAGGAATCATTGGTGTAGGATTAGTGTAATTCTTTACAATAAACATGATGAATTTGAAAATAATTAATAACCTAAAAATTACAAATTTAAACAAACCTCACTATTGTTTAATTTTTGTGTGTAATGCAGTATGATTATTTTTTGCCTTGAAATAATAACTGCTAAGCATGAGGGTATTATTATTACAATGCTTAACATACTGAAGAATTTGGTATCACTGATCAAATTAGATATTCACTTTGCTTCAGATATATGTAATAGAAACTAGAATTATAAAATTGCTGTTATTCCATGTATGGTTTTTGTTTCCTTGACATTTTATAATAATTAATATTTAACTGTGAAAGTGTAATTACCCATAACTATAAACCCAATGTTTGGATATGTATATGTAGACTAATAATTCATTCTAGTTAGTGCATAATTATTCACTATTCAGTGTTGTTTATAAAATATTTTTGTGTGTGTATATATATATATATATATGTTTGATTAACATTAATCATTATCAATTTGTAGTTCAAACATAAATTATCACATGCATGCATTCTGTTTTAGTATGATTTTAGATAATGTTTTCTTTACCAGGTGGTCTTCAAGGAATTGGTAAAGGCCTGGGATCAAATGGACAGCCTCTTAATATTTCCAGCAAGTATTTAGTAAACATTGTGAACTTTGTATTTAATGTTTGTTTCTATATATATCTAACAATGGCTTTGAAAAACAATTGCTGTTTTTCTTTTGTTAACTCTCTTAACATGGGGTCAGTCCATTTGACCGAGTCATGTGACCCTTTTGTACACATTTAGTCTTTATAAATTTAATGCTTATAACTCTCAATATATTGGGTATATATCTTCATAAAATTTGGCAGTCTTTCAGTTAATATTACAAGTCTTTCACATACAAAAAGTCATTTCTTAGTGAAGTATTTTTAATAAATTAAAATAAAGATTTGTCTATGAATATATTGAGTATTTATTTTGAATAGTCCATGTGCAAAGTAATTTTCATGTTAAAATTAAAAATACTTTTTGTCATCTCAAAAATCTCAAATTTCCTTTGTGTAATCCCTAAAACCTCCTAAATGTATTTCAAACGTTTGTTTAATTAAATCCTTATAGTTTATCTGTTATTTTCTCTACCCTATCTCAAAACAGGATTGGTCAATTCGACTGACCTCGTAATCACCAAAAAACAATCGAAATAAACCTAAATTAACCTTTTTTCTTTCTAGAATGACTTCAAATTGTAACATGAAACTACAGTCAGTTATCCTAAGTAGTCCTAAGTTCGTAACAGTATACGTCCATTTATAATTAAATTTTATTGTTTTATTTCCTTTTGAACTGTGTCTAACTACTATCAACACCATTATAAGTTGTAAATCACTTGTGAAACGTGCAGCTCACGTTACACTATTGAATTACATTACCCACGAGCTGCTCACATGTGTAACTTGTGTCCCATTTTAATTATATTATTATTATTACTTATTTTACCTAATCTAGTCGTGAATAAGTTAAAAAGATCCATATTTTAATTTTAGTTACTTTTATAATAATAAATATGAAAAACAAGAGATAAAGTACTTATGCAATCTTATTTTTTCTCACCCTCGATTCTCAAGGAGAGTTACGCATGATTTTTTATAGT